CACCTAAGTGGCTTTGAAAAATCGGAAAAGATCTATGCATAATCTGTCTTTCCAACGACGACTCAGTGCCCCCTCTGCTTGTGGGAACTGAATGTAAAAATAATCACCAGCTTCAGGGCCTCAAAAGCCACCTCGATGGCGAGGAGGCAGGGCACAGAGGGGCAGTGCCAGTCTTGAAAGGTAAGGTGGGTAAAAATTAGCATCCCAAACTGCCCACCGCAGAAGTGTCATCCAACCGCCTTAAAAAAAGCTATTCCCAAACAGGCTCCTTCTGACGGCCTTGGAGCTGATGTGCAGGCAGCCAAGTGTGTGTATTTGTGGAGTTGTAAGTAGGTCAGATATTTCTGTCGCTAATTATTACTTGTGAAAAAATATGTCGTGAGCTTGCCGCAGGGAGAGAGTATCGAAAGCAGCATTGATCTTTGGAATCTCTAGCCAGATTTATCTGTGTGGGGTTGGAATCCCAAGGACTGCCAAAACAGGAAAAAAAAAAAGAAAAAAGAAAAAATGTCCTCAATCCAGGTCTACGGGGGGCAGTTGTGGGAACTCCAGCAGGAAGTTGAGAAACCTGGGTTCCAGCCCTTGATTTTTACTTTCCCATTCCGGGCTTCAGTTTTCTCACTAGGTTGGATTTTATGTTCTGATTTCACAAACTCCACAGTCAATGGTGATTTTCTCGGGACCTGGGATTTCCCTTTGGTTTTAGGGATATGGGTCATTTCCTTTCTGGGAGGTATAGGCAAGAAATTCGTTCAGAAATGAGATTAAAATTTTCTGGCATTGATTATTAGGTGGGAAATTTTGCTGCACCTGGATCAGACCCACATATCTAAATATTTGCTGAATGTTGAATATGTGTTGGACATTGTGGCAGGCATGCTGGACATACGAGTGCATTTGCCTCTACTCACTCCTTTGTATATATAGGGTTGGTGGCCCCTTATTGATTTCGGTGAGTGACATGGTTTTCTCAAGGTTGCACACATAGGAAACAGAAATGCTAAGATTAGAACCCAGCCTGACTCCAAGTCAGTACTGTCCTTGGCTCTTTCTCTCCCTCACCAGCCCCAAGAGCTGTATTCAAGTGGGCAGTAGAGAGGACAAAGATGAGCCTTCCCCTCCTCTTAGAAGCAAAGTCTGAATACTAGGGCAAGACACTACTCTAATTAGTTTTATTTTTATAGGCTCTGAGACTTGTCAATGCTTTATGCAAAGTTATGCAGAATATGCGAATCAGGAGTGGCTCTGGTTGTGTGGTAACCAGGAGGGCACCTGCAGTTCTCTGATCTGAATAATTCCACCTGCAGAGCTTCCTGATGGCATGAGCAGCGGGAAGTGTTGGACTCCTGTCTGCAATGTCATGCCTCTTGAAAGTCCCTTCTGAGTAGTGCTCAGGAACTGGAATGTAAATGCCCCTGCCATATGGAGAGTATTAGCCCCAGAGACCTTGGCAGGGATGAATTCATTTGGTATGAAGGTTTTTTGTTTTTGTTTTTAAAGCAGGTGGGCCTCAGTTTTCTCACCTTTATAATGGGTGAGTTGGTCTCTATGAGCTTCAAGGATCTGTGATCACCCTAAGTGTTTAGATTCCTGTATGGAGGTTTCTGGAAAGTACTATCCTCTCTCTTTTTCTTCAGCACTTTATGATGCCCCCTGCCCCTCTCCAGCTTGCACTCCCACTGCCCTATGTTTGTGCTTCCCCCCTTGAAGTATTTGGCCTTCTAGAAGCTTCCATGCCTTTCTTGCCTCCTATGCTTTGCACATGCTGTTTCTGCTCCTGGAATGCCTTTCCCTCCCTTCTCCATCTGTCTAACTCCCACTGTCCCTCCAAAGGTCAGCTCGGATGTCAGTTTCTCCTGCCCCCTCCCCAGTCTAGGCCAGGTACCCTTCGTCCCCAGCCTCCTGGGTAGCACTCAGCAGCTGGTCGTTGTCCACCTTCCCCAGCAGGCACTGGGCTCACTGGGAACAGACACCTGCTGGTCTTCCCTATAGCCCTTCAAGCATGTGGGCCCAGGATTGTCACCAATCAACTGTCACTGGTCAACCTTTGAGGAATTAACAAATAAAAGAGTAAATGCATCCACACACTTTAATTCAGAATTGTCAATAAATAAATAAATAAGGCCAGGCACGGTGTTGGCACCTATAATCTCAGGGCTTTGGGAAGCCAAGGCAGGAGGATTGCTTGAGGCCAGGACTTTGAGACCTGCCTGAGCCACATAGTAAGACCCCCATCTCAACAACAACAACAAAATAATTGTCCAAAGGAAGCAGTTGCGTTAAGCTCCCACCCAGCTGTGACTTTAGACTAAAAATAGGCATAGGGACACCAGGCTCCTGTAACTCCCTAATATGAATTTTAATTTTTAATAACTCGAGAAATCAGTGAAATATACCTATGGGAAAATGATGAGGAATCAGCCACATAAATTAATGGAAAGTATGTGTTCACATTATCTAACTGTATTAAGTGTGAATAATAATTAATTACACATTCTACATGAGGTCTTATCTTGGAGAGTTCCTTAACCCAATGTGAAGAAATTTAAAAAGTCATTCATCACTCTCCTGTGCTCCACCCAGGTCATAACGTAAAAAGCAATAGCCAAAGAATTTTCTATAATTTATTAAAATCATCATCTTAGAGGAAAAATAACTCTTTTTAGAGCATAACAACTTAGAAATGGAAGCTGCACCCAAATGTGTTTGCTAATGCTGTTGGAATCATCCGGTCCACCTTCCCGTTCTTCCCTGCATTTGTTCATTCTTTCATTCAGTTACTGTGCACCCTATGAATGTGGTATGGAGAGGTGGTATAGCAAGCGGATATGAACATGAACTCCCCAGCCAGACTGTTTGGGGTCAAATCCAAGCTCATCTACTTTCCAGCTGTGTGGTGTTAGGCAATTTGCTAAACCTCTCTGTGTCACAGTTTCCCCATCTATAAAATGGAGAGAATAATAGGACCCATCTCGTAGAGCTGGGATGGGAGATTAATGAGCCAACACATGTGATGTGCTTAACCTAGAGCGTAAACTAACTCTCGGTGTGGCCATGCGGGTGTGCTGGGCAGGAAGACAAAATGACTTTCTGCCCTTGGAGAGTTTGCTGATTGGTGAAGAAAACAGACCATCAATAAGCAGCTGCATGTTAAATTACAAAGTGTGTGTGTTGCATATGCAGGAGAGTACAGGACTACGATAGGGAGTGATGAGGGCATTTTATATAAGGCAAGCAGGTCCAGCTTCTCTCGGGAGGGGACGTTCAGGTCAAGGACTCAAGGTAAGAAGGAGCTGGTTAAGTAAAGAGTTGGGGGAAGAGGTTTCCAGGTCTTGGCTTATGTGTGGTACTCTACTACCTTGGGTTGCCCTTTCCCTGTTTAGACTTTTTTTTTTTTTAGACAGAGTTTTGCTCTTGTTGCCCATGCTGGAGTGCAGTGCAATGGCACGATCTTGGTTCACCACAACCTCTGCCTCCTGGGTTCAGGCGATTCTCCTGCCTCAGCCTCCCGAGTAGCTGAGATTACAGGCATGCCCCACCATGCCTGGCTAATTTTGTATTTTTAGTAGAGACGGGGTTTCTCCGTGTTGGCCAGGCTGGTCTCGAACTCCTGACCTCAGGTGATCTGGCCGCCTCAGCCTCCCAAAGTGCTGGGATTACAGGTGTGAACCACCGCGCCCGGCCCCATTTAGATTTTTTAAAGCACAAATATGTCATATTAAGACACACTGCAGAGCCCCAGAGAAAAACAATGTGGTTAAGGGCAAAGAAAAAGCCAACAGCCAGTGGTACGGACTACAGCACTTGGAGTGAGGCTCCCACATGCTCGGGAACTTGCTAACAGTCTATGGAAAAGGGGGTGCCACAGGACAATGAGGAAAGGAGAGATCCCTTAGTATCTGAAAAACAAGCCTAAAGTAGGGGGGAAAAATACAGCTAAAGCCTGCCTTACATCTCATAATCCAGACAGATTAAAGAGATAAAGTTAAAACTCTAAAGGGAATGGAAGAAAATTGGGAAGAATGGGTTTTTGACTTGGGGAGTAGAACAAGACTTCCTAAGACCGAACAGGCACAAACAATAAGGCAAAACATGGTTAGAGTCAACTACATCAAAATTTAGGATTTCTGTTCAGCAGAGGAAAACAAAGACAAGTAAGCAAACAGATGTCAAGCTGGGAGAAGACTTTTAATGTCTAAATCAGAAAAAGCTTATTGTCTATAATAGACAAAGAACTCCTTCAAATCAATAGGAGTTCCAGGAGATTCAATACGACCCCAGGAGATTCAGTACAAACCCTAGGACATTCAATACAAATGGTCAAAGAATATCACTAGGGAGTTCACAGAGGGATAACATCAAATGGTGACCAAGTGCTTGAAAGAAAAGAGATGTACCTGAAATCCAAGATATACAAACTTAAACAACACAGAGAAACCACTGCACTTTTCTTTCTTTTTTTTTTTCCCCCTGAGACGGAAGTCTCAGTCTGTTGCCCAGGCTGGAGTGCAGTGGCGTGATCTCGGCTCACTGCAACCTCTGCCTCCCGAGTTCAAGCCATTATCCTGCTTCAGCCTCCCAAGTAGCTGGGATTACAGGTGCCCATCCCCACACCCAGCTAATTTTTGTATTTTTAGTGCAGACAGGATTTCACCATGTTGGCCAGGCTGGTCTTGAACTCCTGACCTCAGGTGATCTGCCTGCCTCAGCCTCCCAAAGTGCTGGAATTACAGGCGTGAGCCACTGGCCCAGCCATCTTTCTGTTTTTATCAGACTCAGCTACAGAGAGCAAAGGTTCTCATCTCCCAGCTCCTGGCACATTCTCACTGTTGAACTGCACACAACCTTTTTTGTGGTGTTAGGTTTCTTTTTTGTTTTTTAACTTCTTTCTCGTTTATCCCTGATTCCCACCACCATCCCGTTTCCCCCATGGGCATTTTCACTAATATATTTGATATATGTTCTTAAATATGCATGAATCCTTATGAAACATGTTGTGCTATTCTGTGTATATATGCTTTTAATTAACATGACTAATTCCGTGCTGTAGCTCTCAGTCTTTTTTTTTTTTCTTCTTCTTCTTTCTTCTCTTAGCACCAAAGTATATTCAATAGTCTGTAATAGTTGCTTATAACCATGCACAATGTTTTTTCATGGTGAGAATTCACCACATTCTTCTCATGCATTTCTTCAGCAATGGACACCCTGGTGGTCTCAGAGTCCCTGATCCTCTAAACTACACTGCTGGAGTAGCCTCAAGGGATGGCGGGGCTTCTTTTTGTCCTATGAGATACAAGACGCAGGATGCGAGAGGAGATATCTCTAAGATAGACATCCAGGAGAGGTCACACTGGGTCGTGGATAAATATTTAATGTCCTTAACTGTGCCAGGGCCCTATAGCCCAAATGGCACCTCCGCGAAAACCAGAAAAAGCACAAAAAAACAAAAAAGCAACAATAACAAAAAACCCCAGAAAGACAATAAAATTGAAACAAACACAAAAACCCTGCCTGCCCTTTGAGGCTCAGCTCACAGTTGTCTCCTAAGGGACCAGATACCATTTCCTTTCTACTCTGAATGCCCCTGGCACATGTTCCCCTTTGCCTGGGAAACAGTGAGCTACTTGAAGGCAAAAAATCATATATTTGTGGTTTCTTTTCTTTATTTTCTTTCTTTCTTTTCTTTTCTCTTTTCTTTTCTTTTCTCCTTCCTTCCTTCCTTCCTTATTTCTTTATTTCTTTTTCTTTTTTTTGAGACAGAGTCTTGCTCTGTTGCCCAGGCTGGAGTGCAGTGGTGCGATCTCAGCTCACTGCAACCTCCACCTCCTGGGTTTAAGTGATTCTCCTGCCTCAGCCTCCTGAGTAGCTGGGACTACAGGTGCGCACCATCACGCCTGGCTAATTTTTGTATTTTTATTAGAGATAGGGTTTCACCATGTTGGCCAGGACGGTCTCGATCTCCTGACCTCATGATCCACTCGCCTCAGCCTCCCAAAGTGTCGGGATTACAGGAGTGAGCCACCGAGTCTGGCCTATTTGTTGTCTTTCTACCAGTTGCAATAGCAGGCTCTCATAAAAGCTTGCTGGACTGATTTTCTATGTCCTGACACTTCAGAGCAGCATGACCTCACCCCACATTGATAAGCATGCCCACTACAGAAAAGGAGAAAATGATGGATTTGAGGATCAGGATTGTAAGATTCTGGTCTCCTTGCTGTCACCATCCTGAAGGGTAACCATCAGCAAGCGACTTTTCCTCTCTGGCTCTGAGTTTCCCAGTGGCAGCTCCTCTGTGGCAGAGAGAAGCTAATTTCCCCTGAAACCATTTCCCTTTTCCTCTTGGGCTCAGAGGAAGCCTGCATTGCCCAGCCTCCTTGCAGTGAGGTGCAGGCCTGTCATCAGGTTCTGGTCAATAGAATGTGGATGGAGGTGACATATTCTGCTTCCAGGCCTGATCTGTGAAAACCTCCTCATGTGAATCTCCACATTCTTACATCATCTGCTGGCCAGATGCAGAGAATCCCACAGCACCACAAGCTAGAAGGAGCTTGGATCCCCAAGTCCCTCCCTAGAGGAGAGCCATCCCAGAGAGCTTTATAACCAGAAACGCCCTTGGGGGATGGTTGTATGAGCAAAACTAAACTTTTATGGTGTTTTGCCTTTGAAAATTTTGAGGTTGGTTGTTACACCAGGTGTCCTCCTGATTAATCTATTTCCCTCAAGCCGGATTTCACCCAATAATTCCTTAATTTGTGTCATGCTTCTCCACTTTTCACAATTGATGTTTTGTGGCCCAGCTCTTTTATTCTACTCAAAAGTAGCTGAATAATCTGAAATAGCAATTGAGTATCCAAAAGGAGCCAATCTCAATGCTGGCGTTGCCCCTGCATCCACTCCCTACAATCCATCACTATCATGGAACCAAAAGGATCTCTCTGGAACCAACAGGAAAAGGCAATTCCTCCAAAATACTTTCATGGTCTCCTGTTATCCTCAGAATGAAGCCAAAGGGCTCATACCTACGAGGCCTACCAAAACTGGCTCTATTTCTTCTACTTCCTCTCCCCTGCTGAGTCCACAGTTCAGCTGCGAAAAGCAGTTCCTCTAACACGCCAGTCTCAGTGCCCAACACAGTAAGGACTAGGCCTTCAGGGTAACGCTAGCTGAGCCCAGGAGGCTCTTCCATCCCCTCCTCCTTATCTTGGGGGTGTGGCTTACAAGTCACTTTTCCTTAGGGAGTCTGGGCCCCCGATCACTCCCTCCAGTCCACGCTTTTGCCCCACTGTGTGCTTACCACTCACAACATTCATTGCAGTTGTAAGTACTTGTCCCCTGAACCGTCTGTGTCCTGAAGGACCAAGCCAGTCTTGCTTCTTACTGAATCCCCACACCCGGCCCAGACCCTGGCTTGTTGATTGTGCTCTTAAGTATAGTCATGTGTCGCTTAACAATGCGGATGCGTTCTGAGAAGTGTGTTGCTAGGCGATTTTGTGTAAATGTCATAAAAGTGTACTCCCACAAACCTAGATGGTAGAGGCTGCCACCCACCTAGGCTTCATGGTCTAGCCTGTGGGTCCTAGGCTACTAACCTGCACTTGTGGCACTGTGTGGAAGACTGTAGGTGACTGTAACACAATGGTAAGGATTTGTGTGTCTAAACATAGAAAATGGACGGTAAAAATGCAGTATTATCATCTGACGGGACCACTGTCGTATATGCGGTCTGTCATCGACTGAAACGTCATATGACACATGACTGTAGTTGCTGAACAGGGCATCAATACATGACCAAATCCCGAGGGAACAAGTGGGCTTGATTCCTGGAGGAGGGGTCATATCCTGTGTCATCCAAGGGGGACAAACGGATTTCTTGGAAGGCATAGTGCCTCTCAAAGGAACAGAAAGGCCATACTTGGATGCATTAGGTCCCCAATTAGGTCCAGAGCTTCACAGAGTGAATCTGCAATGCCAAGGCTCAGTGCCCACAGAGAGAGATCCCATACTGGTCACCAGTGTGGGCCACTGAGTTCTGGATCTCCCTCTGAACCCAAGACTTAGTAACACACAAAAATAAAGCTGAAGGCCCAGGCAGGAAGACGTGATGAGCATTCACAATGCGGACAGGCTGGGCGTGGAGATCCTCTCCCGCAACGCACACCCTTTCAGACGCACAAACTCCTCTCCAGGCAATTGTTTTCTCTGTGAGTTCCCTCGAAGCAGCCATTTGCGTCTCTTGATTCCCACACGCGGATGACCTTGTTAGGTCTTGTTAGATAGATGGAAGACTGTACCGGGCTCTTGTGCCCTCTCTCTCTCTGGCTAATTACAATTTGCAAAGCGAGGTCACTTCAGGTGAATTAAAACGAGACGCTTGACAATTAATTTAAATAACAAATAATGTCAGCTTGGCCATCTGCTGATGGCTGGCCCCCAGCCTGACCACCGGTGCTATCAGCGAGAGGATCTGTTTTCTCAGCCCAGCGAGATCGTAAAAGCCCAGGTCAAGAGACCCCGGGACCCCAGAACACCAGTGTCCGGCACAGTAAGGACTCGGCCTCATGGTAACGCTGCAGTCTCAGGTTGGTGACAGCTGCTCTGCCAGGCCCTTGTGGCCAAAATTTAAGGCCTGCCAGTTTATAAATTGTGTCCTTTTTCACCCCTATTAAGGAAGCCTGTGTTCCTTGACCTATCATTGCTGTTGTGTCCATGGTTGGTATAAATATTGCCTTCCAATTACACAGAATTTTGAATTTTTGCTCAAAACATTCGTTTGGTTACTTCACTCTCTTGTCTTTCCAAATCGTCCCTTTTTCCTCATCTAAGATTTCGTCTGGGCCACTCCCCAGGAGAGCAGGAGTGAGATGTGCTCAGACTCCTTTCCAGGACTTGTTACGGATCTGCCCCGGGTGGATGGATGGGGCTGGGCCACCAGGCTAGACCTAGTAAAGGTCAGAGGCTATTGCTGCTGGAAAAGCTTTATTTATGGGCAGGAAGACTAAGGACCCCAGGAGAAGGGCAGCACGGGGTTGCATGAGGGTAGAGCTGGGTTTGGGCTCACAGTGGCTACCTCCTGTGCCAGGGCTTCGTGTAGCACCCCAGCCACCCCCTTGGGCAGGAAGAGATGGCCAGGCCCCCTCTTGAGTGACCTAAGTTCTGAGCTTTGCAAAGACCCTCCTGGTAGGATCTCAATCTGGATCGAGGAACTGGAAGCCTACGCCAGACCCCTTGCCATCCTATCAGTCTCCTTGGCTCCGTGCCTGCAGCGGCCTCAGCTGGTCCATGCCAGCATGAGCTCCTGGTGAAGTGGATCTGTTGCTGCTGGTTTCTGTTTGCCCAGCCTTCCTTCCCCTGATCACAGCAGCCCTTAAATCTTTTCTTTTCCTTTTTTTTTTTTTTTTTTTTTTGAGACAGAGTGTTGCTCTTTCACCCAGGCTAGAGTGCAGTGGCGCGATCTCAGCTGACTCCAACCTCCACCTCCCGGGTTCAAGTGATACTCCTGCCTCACCCTCCTGAGTAGCTGGGTCTACAGGCATCTGTCACCGCGCCCTGCGAATTTTTTTTGTATTTTTAGTAGAGAGAGGGTTTCACTGTGTTAGCCAGGATGATCTCGATTTCCTGACCTTGTGATCCACCCATCTCAGCCTCCCAAAGTGCTGGGATTACAGATGTGAGCCACCTCGCCTAGCCAGGTCAGGAGTTTTGAGCGGGCATGGTCTCTACTAAAATACAAAAATTAGCTGGGCATGGTGGCAGGTGCCTGTAGTCTCAGCTACTTGGGAGGCTGAGGCACGAGAATTGCTCGAACCTGGGAGGCGGAGGTTACAGTGAGCTGAGATCGTGCCACTGCACTCCAGCCTGGGTGACAGAGTGAGACTCCATCTCAAAATAAATAAATAAAATGTAGCCAAGTTTTGAAAACCACTACTTCTTCCCCCGCCTCAGGGATGGGCCTGTGAACCAAAGTGGGCCCATCAGAGCCCTTCCCTGGGGATTTTGCTGTAGACAGAAGATGGTCCCTCTTTAAAGGCTGTGAGGGGACTTATGTCAGCCAGCAGCACTCAGCCCCGCAGCCAGCCCCTGCAAGGCTGCTCCTGTCCTCAACCCTCTTCCCCACTGTTCTGGGTCATGTGGAGCCCCAGAATCACCGAACTGCTTCCTGGACTTGCATCTTTGCATACGGTATTTCTTTCCCTTACCAGCGCTTCTTTCTCATGAAGTCTTACTTAACCTCAGAGATTCAGTAGGCATTGCTTATTCTGGGAGAGCATCCTTGCTCCCCGCCTGCCGTGGGCTGGGCTTGGAGCTACTCCTCAGGACTCACGCTTGTGTGTTCTTCTCTGAGGGACTCAGCGCTGCTTTGCAATCATCTGTCTGCACAGCTGTGCTCCCGCAGGCTGCGGGCTTCCCTAAGGCGGAGTCTGCGCCCTGTTCTGATGCATCCTCCTGTGTTTAGCTTGCAATCTTTGCTTGGTGAGTGAGTCATTTTTTCGCTCCCAGGAGCACTGGGGAATCACCTAGCGACAGGGGCAGGAGCTCATCTGCTTCTCCGTGCTCCCGAGAGAGGGAGAAAATGAGGTGGAGAGAGAGAGAGAGTGTGTCACAAACCAGCGGAGAGAGAGAAACATCGTCCTTTTCAACTCAACTCTCTGTTCCTTCCCTCACTCATCTGCTTCTCCGTGCTCCCGAGAGAGAAAATGAGGTGGAGAGAGAGAGTGTGTCACAAACCAGCGGAGAGAGAGAAACATCGTCCTTTTCAACTCAACTCTCTGTTCCTTCCCTCATTCATCTGCTTCTCCGTGCTCCCGAGAGAGAAAATGAGGTGGAGAGAGAGAGTGTGTCACAAACCAGCGGAGACAGAGAGAAACATCGTCCTTTTCAACTCAACTCTCTGTTCCTTCCCTCACCGGACAGACATTTTCTGTGCTCCTTCCTACTCTGGACCAGATAGAGAAAGTTTTGCAGAGATGAACTATGCAGTAGACAATTAAAATAAGACTATCAGGCCGGGTGCGGTGGCTCACGGCTATAATCCCAGCACTTTGGGGGGCCGAGGCGAGTCGATCACCTGAGGCCAGGAGTTCAAAATGAGTCTGACCAACATGGTGAAACCCGTCTCTACTAAAACTACAAAAAAAAGAAAAAAAAAATTAGCTGGGCATAGTGGTGGGCGCCTGTAATCCCAGCTACTTGGAGGCTGAGGCAGGAGAATCGCTTGAACCCGGGAGGCGGAGGTTGCAGTGAGGCAAGATTGCACCATCGCACTCCAGCCTGGGCAACAAGAGTGAAAACCCCGTCTATAAGATAAGATAAGATAAGATAAGATAAGATAAGATGGAACTATCAGTCACCTGGACTTTCAGAAGACATAGTGGGGTATTCACAAACGGAGATCTTTCTGGTGCGTATCTCAATTACTCACTCTCCAGGGCATGGCCAGGCACTGCTTCCTTGGCATGAGGCACCACCAAAGACCTGAGAAATAGGATCCCTGGAGTAGTCTTCTGACCCCTTGGAGGCCTCTATGAGAATACCTGTTAGTTTTCTTACCTGGGAATATTCCAACATGTATAGCCCTCATACTGTAAACACTATAGCACTGCTTCTGAGTTTTCTCTCTGTGACCCCAAACCAGTGTGGTCCCTCTGTCTGTGGGCTAAAGAGAAATCAGAAGAGCCATGAAAAATTACATTTTATAAACCTGCTGTTTTATAAAAACTACATGTTATAGAGCTACCCCCCAAAAAAAAGCAACCGATGAACAGGAACGCACAAAGGGGCTGTTTTGGTTAAGATCATAAATCCAACTCAAAACTAGCTTGAGCAAGCAAGGTAATTTATTGATTGTATCCGAAATGTGTTTGGCTACAAATAAAAACTCTGACTACGGTTGGCATAAATAAAGGTTTTCTTTGTCTCACATAATGTTCAGAGGTAGGGCCGGGCGCGGTGGCTCACACCTATAATCCCAGCACTTTGGGCAGCCGAGACGGGGGGATCAGTTGAGGTCAGGAGTTTGAGACCAGTCTGACCAACATGGTGAAACCCCATCTCTACTGAAAGTACAAAAATTAGCCAGGCGTGGTGTCCCGTGCTTGTAATCCCAACTACTCAGGAGGCTGAGGCTGGAGAATTGTTTGAACCCAGGAGGTGGAGGCTGCAGGCTGCAGTGAGCCTAGATTGTGCCACCACACTCTAGCCTGGGCTACAGAGTAAGACTCTGTTTCCAAAAAAAAAAAAAAAAAAAAGTTCAGAGGCAGGCAGTCCGGGGCAGGAGAGAGCGCTCAGCAACCCCTCCTGTCTTTCTGCCCCATCGTCCCCAGCCTGCTGTCTTGCAGTTGTGAGGCAGCTGCCGATTCCCAGCCCTTACCCATAGGAAGGAAAAAAACAAAAACAGAAAAATGGAAGGAGGTGCCACAGGCAGT